CACCAAATGTCATGTCAACTTAATTCAATAAGTAGCTCTGATGTTCTCCTAATACTCCTGTTCTCTTCCTTGACATTTATCCATGTGCCTGTAACACTGATCCTCACAACTGAGACGTATTTTACCTGGGCTCTTGTGGCATTCATTTCACATTTTTAGATCACCAGTACAATGCTGAGATAGTATATGAAGCAACACTCTACCACTGCATTAGTTCTAATGATTGTTTATGCTTAGAAAGTGACTACAGGAATGGCATCATCTTACCTGCAATTTCTGCTTTCTGTGAATTACCAAATCATATTTAAATTTACCAACAAAAATAACATTCACAAGCATTAGCCCTGCAGAGCAAGTGCCACATGTCAGAGTGAGTTGGTCTTATTGCTAGCACTCATCCAGTGCTGTCCATTGAGGCTCAGTCACAGACTCTTTAGTTCTGGGGATGGCAGATAAGGCAGGAAGAACATAACTGGACATGTTTTCTGCTTTGAAATTAAGGAAGCAAACAAAATAAAAGATGCTTACAATTAAAATAGGGCAAGACCTGACTGACTGAAATTATTTGTGTGGACAGACTACACAGAATATCCAAATGTGTTTGTGTAGTTTCTTTTCTGAACCCATCTCTACAGGGTAGAAGAAAGATTTAATTTGGACAATAGGGCTTGGTCTACTTTTTAAAATAACAAATCAGACCCCTGACTGATGTAGCTAATGTGGCAACATCTTTGTTAGGATGCAGTTGTACTGTAAGAGAAGTTCTCTGGCTGACAGCTGAAAGAATTATTTTGCTAAAGTAAGCAGCCTCTCCACTAGGGGGAGCCTGTTTTAACTGCAAACTCTTAGATTACTCCTGAGTGAAGATCATAAAGGTTTGTGCGTCAAGAAACAAGGTGTGGTGAAAATCTAGAAAATTAGGCAAAGAGAACAACTACTGACCTGCTGTTCTTGTACGTCAGACTCTATGCTACAAAAAATTAAAAAAAGAGAAAGAACATGGTAATTTAGTGTTATCATTTTATCCACATCTTATCAGAATTATTTTGTCTATCAGATATCAGATTCAAACCCATTAAGTAATTCCTCATCCTTGTTTGGATTTTCACATACTAAATTTTCATTTTTATTTCTTGGGATTTATAGGCTTGCAAAATATAGACTAGACATTCATACACCAAATAAAACACCGCAAAAATATACATATTAGGGCAGTGGTTCTCAGCCTTTTTATAGACTCAAGGTACCCCTTGGAAAATGCCAACTCTTGGGTTACATGCATTTTTTGACTATAGAAATAGAGCATTTGTTATGTTGCAAAGAACGCCAAAAAACCGTAACAGGTCAGAATGCTTTTAACACTGTGAAGTCCTACTTGAAATCTCTGGAAGTATCTTGTGATCATGTTTCCAAGGCTGTCCTTTTTTTTTTTTTTTTACTTTTTTTCTGGGGTGGGGGGGTGTTCACTTTTGCAAAGCCAGACTATGAAACATTCCTAAACTGAAAGAAAAGCTATACAGCTTTCTAAAGGCAGCTCATAGGAAGACTCTCGCTCCTGCTCTAGAACAGGGGCAGACAAAATTTGGCCCGTGGGCCACATCTGGCCTGTCAGACCATTCTATCTGGCCTACAGAGCATTTACAAAATTTAGAAAATTAATATTTATCTGCCCTGGCAGCCTGTCAGAGCTGACAAGAGCCGGGGGAAGATGGACCCAGGGGGAGCCTCAGAAGGACTGAACAGCCCAGCCCTGCCCCACGCCCAGTCATTGCACACTCTGCCCCCACCCTGCTCCAGCACCACATGGGTGCTGGCTGCATCACCAGTCTGGGGAGCAAGGGGCTGCGGTGTGTGTGTGTGTGTGTGTGTGTGTGTGTGTGTACACACATAGGCTGAGTCCCACACACACACCCCACCATACACGTGCACCCATACCTCCTCGCACTGCCATACAGGCAGACCCCCCACATGCCCCAGGCGCCGAGCCCTCCACAAACCCCATACCCACCCACACCCTACATATCCACACACACATGCGCTCTCACCCCACATACCCACACACTCACAGCCCCCCACAAACCTATACCCAGCCCCCACAACATGCAGGAGTAAGACTTCATTTTAAGCTATTGTGCAGTCACCTCTATGTACACTACACAAACACATGTAAACTGGGACAAAAATATTTTTTTAAATCAAATTAATGAATACTGTAGATCAGCGGTTCTGAACCTTTTTCAGTCAATGTACCCCTTGGTCTCACGTACCCCCTTTCAATGGGAAATTAATTTTTTTAGGCCCTTCGATCTGTTAGACAATGTATGAAATATCTCATGTACCCCCTGATGAGGCTTCACGTACCCCCTGGGGTACATGTACCCCTGATTCATAACCAGTGCTGTAGATGTTTGCGTTTTAGAATATAATATGGTTTTTTTCTGGTTCAGAGATGGCGCAACCCCTTGCTGAAAGGAGTACTTCCAGGGACAAGGGGAGGGACTTCTGGTAACAAAGGTCAAGCATTAGGGGGCAGGACTTTGGTCAAGGGGCAGGGCTAACCATGTGGCCTGCGACAGATTGCCAAAGCTTAGCAAGTGGTCCTCCACCCAAAATAATTGCCCAGTCCTGCTCTAGAAAGAGAAAGCAAAGAAAATGAGGTAAGATTGTAGAAGCTATTTCTTGCTTTGTAGAGCTGTGGAGATACAGCAGACACAAAGATGACTGCCCATCTTCGTTAGATAAGTGAACTGCCAAACTGAAAAACCTTGAGTGGAACCCTGCCCTCTGAAAGGGTGGTTTTGGGGGGGGGGGGGGG